ATGTCATGGTTCAAAACTTCACACATAAGCATTTGAAGTTTTGTTCTTGATTTTTGTCTCTGACTTTGCTTCTTTAATACAGGTGTACAATTCTGGTGTAACACCAACTATATTTTACACCTGTTTTACTCTGTGAACAGTATCACAATAGCTGGTTGTGCTCAGTGTATGTGGCACAGTTTTAAGGACTAGAGAATTTAATGGAGATGACCTTGCCTGTGCCTTGAGTTTTCCAGTTTAGTTTATTGTTGCGATATACCTATTTCACCGTTTCCTATTTTGTTTTCAGAAAGTCCCTTTCCTTAGAATTAATTTTCCATTTAAACTGGTTTTTAAATTTACATTGTAAAATTTATTTTGGCTTCTGCCTGCCTCTTACACATTAAGAATGAAAAAGCTTAGGTTTGCTCAGTGGTTAGAGCGTGGTGCTGATAACACCAATGTCCAAGTGTTTGATACCTGTACCGGCCAGCCGCCAAAAAAAAAAAGGAAAGAAAAAGCTGGTAGAACCAAGCTTCAAAAATGTTAGGTTGAAGTACCTTTTTGGAGCCTGTTCACAGACAAGGCAAAATTGGTTATCTTGTCATTAGTTCAAACTCCAAAAAAATTGCTTTCTCACCACCAGCACCCCCGCCCCAAATATTAATATGTGGCCGGTCATTTTTGATGCTTCTCCCTCCCACCACAAAGTTCCTTTCATTCTTCACAGGATCGATTCTCAACAGCTGTTGCTAGCTTCTCGGCCCTAGTATTACTGGTGCCGCACTCTGCAGCGCTTACTGAATGTGATCCTAGTAATGCTGCTGGGCAGGTGCTCAGAGGTCACGGGTTGGTTGCGTTACGTAGGTTCCGGTGCAGCCTGTCCAGGTGCAGATGGGCCAGGCGCAGGGGACCACGGCCGCGAAGCGCAGCCCCGGGTCGTGCGCTCTGTGGGGATGGAGCCTTCGGCTCCGCCCCCTCCCGGAAACGCCCAGGCCTTCCCGGCTGAGCTTCACACACCGGATGCCATTTCACATTTGGGCCCAGAAGTCAGTTCGCACTGACGCGGCCGGCAGCTCTTAAGTCTCTTCGCCAGGGTCTAACGTGGACTGCAAAGTAACCCAGGTCGGACCGACCCAAGCACTGAGCGACAGGGTCAGCCTCTCGACGCCGGGCTCGGAGTCTGGAATGCACGCGTTCCTGCTTTACGGCGAGGGTGCGCGCGTTTACGACAGTGTGACGCCAGGAAGGTTTTGGCGGGAAAGTCGCTGCATTTGGATTCCTGTGGTGGAGGGCAAAGGACATCCTGGTGAAGAGGGGCGGCCGGTAGGGTGGGAAGTGAGTATGAAGGTGGAGCTTGGGTTTAGATTAGTGAGGAGGGGCTTGCTGAGAGAAGGTTATCGGAGAGACTCCCGCGAAGGGGCGGTTTCGGAAGGTGGAGGAGTGTGGTATCAGAGCGTCCGCGTTGTAGATGGGGGAGAGAGCTTAGCCCTCTGCTGGTTGGGAACCCAGAGGTTTGGGCGCCGGCCTGGGCCCTTCCGTTTCTCGGGGCAGTTTGGCCCCGCCCCGGGCTCCTGCCGGCTTTTGGGGCGGGTGGGGTGAGAACTGGGACTGAGCGAGTGGGGAGGAGG